GATGAATCACAACCCAATTCAAGCCTATTAAAACTATGAACATTTGATTTCCAAACCTAATGTCGATTCATACCAAACAACTCCGATTGACCTCAAATTTTGCACACAAGTCATAAATGACATGACTGACCTATTTCAACTTTCGAAATCAGAATCCGACCCTGATATCAATAAAGTCAACTCCCAGTCAAACCTTTCAACCTTCCAAACCTTCAACTTTTTAACTTTCGCAATTCAAGCCGAAACGACCTACGAACCTCCAAATCACTATCCGAACATGCTCCAAAGTCCAAAATCACCTTACGGAGCTATTGGAACTGTCAAAACTCTATTCAAGAGTCGTCTACACAAAAGTCAAATTACGGTCAACTCTTTCAACTTAAACTTCCAGCTTTGGGACTACAAATACCCCAGCAAATCACATAACCACAATACAACATAGATGAGGAAATAGATAGGGGAACAGGGCTAAAATACTCAAAACAACCTGCCAGAACATTACATCATGTTGGAAGGATAGCACGGACCTTAACTACTCATTCTTTGAGTAAGTTACTGCTATGTTTTAGATTCTAGGAGTTCCACCAGTAAGGGTAGTAACTACTACTGCAACACCGCCAGAGATTAGGCCCGCTATGACTGTGGAGGATTAGAAGAGGATGGATCAGTTCTAGAAGTTAGATTCTTCATGTTTTGATGGTGATCCCATAGCCGATCCTCATGATTTCTTACACGGGTGCCATGCCATTCTGTGCAATTTGGGGTTTGTGGAGTCTAATGGAGTTAATTTCACTATTTTTCAGTTGAAGGGTCCAACCAAAAGATGGTGGCACACTTATGAGCGGGATAGGGCAGCTGGGTCACTTTCTCTCACTTGGACTCAGTTTTCGACTCTCTTCTTGGAGAAATTTATTCCACTTACTAAGAAGGATAAGTTGCGCAGCCATTTTGAGTATTTGTGCCAGGAGAGCATGTTAGTTCCTGAGTATGAGATGAAGTTTACTGAGTTATCCTGCTATGTAGCTTTCTTAACTCCCATCGAGATAAAGAAGGTGAGGAGGTTTATTGAGGGTCTCAATTTTGTTATTCTATTTGGGATGGTGCAAGAGACATAGAAAGGTACTACATTTTCTTATGCTTGTGGAGATAGCTTGGAAGATGGAGCATATTCGCATATAGAGTTGTAACGTCCCGATCAGTCATTTTGAGTTCTAGCACTCTATTTTATGATTTGAGATATCAAGTAGGTCCGTTTGACATTTTATAACTCGCGTGTGTGGTTTGTTTTGATTTCTAAGAGGTTTCGCATAGTGTTGGAAGAAGAATTCTGATTTGGAAGCTTTAAGTTATTAGAATTGACCAATATTTGACTTTTGAGTAACTTACCTCGGATTGGAGATTTGAATATTTCATTAGCTTCATGTGATAATTTTGAACTTGTACGTATTTTTGATTTGGTTCTCGGCTGACCCGAGGTCATTTCGACGCTTCTAGTCGAAAGTTAGAAATTTAAACTTTAGAACTTGAAAAATATTTGGTTTAATGCTTGATTCCTTTTGATGTTATTTTTGGTATTTTGAGCCTTAGAGCGAGTTCGTGTTAGGTATAAGGACTTGTTGAGATGATTGGATGGAGTCTCATGGTAAATTAGGAGTTATTTGATACCGAGATCGTTCATACCGTAATCATTCATGAGTCAACACTAGAAGACTTTCTGAAAAGATTCATGGCTACGAAAAAGAGAGGGATTAGTCAATCTTGAATAAAGCGAGATTTGGTATAACTCACTAAGCATTTATAGATTCTCAGTGTAACGTACAAAAAGTACAATTAATAGGGATAATGGTAGGCGAGATATTAGAGGAACAATTACAGATAATTTTACTATTTAAATCTCCATTTTCCCCATATTGTATCACATTTGAGAAATTATTTTACAGCTTTCTCTATATCACTGCATTCTGCTCGAATCAATCAGAACGTGATCTGGAAAAGGAGTTATCTTGATCAATAAGAATTCTCTTTCTTTTTCTTTATATTTGATTTTCTTACTTGTTGTATTATCAATTCTTATCATTTATATTGGAGAAAGTGAGTTAAATCGATTGTTTGTACCCTAAAAATCTAAATTTAATTGATTCAGTCTATAACACCAATTTTACGTTAAACAATAGTCAAATAGTCTTCGACGTTATAGGCTTTTAGCGTATGAAACACTGAAAAATCATAGAAATATTCCCTTCATTCCATAAAAACCAATAGGAAAAGCGTTAAATTTACTCCTATACTTTCAAATATTATCTATATTTAACCCCTCTTATATTATCCAACCAAAGTTATCCCTACTATTATATTCGGCCAAATTTATTTTACTGTTAGCAAATTTTTAAAAATTATCCCAAATCTTAGGCAATCTATAATCTCCTAAAAATTATCCCAATCTTGTGTAACCCCTTTAAAGAGCGCGCTAGCATTCTCTTGATGCTAAATTTATCAATCTAATATGATTCTTAGTTGTCGAAATGAAAGATTAAATAGCTTTAGAAGTTTTGATAAGAATGTAAATCTATATGTTAAATACATGTGAAGACAACATGCTGCAAGTTACTAATCTAGAGAATTGATAATAATTTGAATATTGTTAAAAAGTAAGCAACAATATAAAAATTCAGAGTTTGTTTTCTTTCTTTGTTTGAGAGCTTCTTGGTACATTTCTCTTTTAATAATCTCCTTTTTTTTTTAATATTATCTCTTCTTCTTTTTGTAGCTGAGCTACCACAGTTAAATGCAAATTTTAAATAGGAAAAAATTTAACATAAGATAACATACATTTTAAGGGCCATTTCAGTTTACTTATCTGTGAAGTTTTTCTTTTCCCTTTCACTCAGATTTCAGAAAAATAGTGAAACGCTTTTTATAATTTATCCCAAAGCAGTAAACAGTTAAATATTCGTTCACTGAGCTCCTATTATGCCTCTCTAATCAAGTGATCAATTGAATGTAAATTAAGTTTGGAGTATGAACACTTAATTTAGAAATAATATTACTAAATTTAGTATGAGTTTAGCTAAGAATAACCCTACTAAAATTTGTTTTGAGAATCAAAATATCCTCTAAAATTAACTATGAATAACCAATATATACCAAGAGATAGATTTTAGCAAGGCGGGCGAACGGTATTCAACTAGGGGCATTTTTAGCTAAAAAGACGTTACTAGGGATTTTTACGAGTTACCTAGGGATTTGGTCTCAGCTAATTGCCTGTTTTATTATAGTGAAACACACCCATAATGTATCAGTTGGAAAGAAAAAAAAAAGTGTTAGGAATTAGAATGCAGTTAATTTACTAGGAACAACTTGTACTTTTATCGGATCACCAAATACCCCTACCTCTTCCGTTTGTTGAAGGTTTTGGATTGGAGATTTTTTAAATTAACATCATTTCTTTAGACAATTATTAATCGGCAAATTTTAATGTCTAAGTGGCCGTCATTAATTTCGGAAATTGGAAACATGTCTTGCAATCAGGAGATTATGTACCGGATATGTCCCTCACAGGAGAACCATTAATAATGCAGGCCATGACCTTTGGTTTATTTTGTTTCAAAAACCACAAGAATCTATATAATTTATTAGGGGTGACAAAATTAGCTCATAAAAATATAATCTGCCCAATTATTCAAGTTTGGGCAGATTATGATCCATTGTTTAGCCCATTTAATTTTGATCATCTCATTTCAGTCCAAGTAACAGGGTTGGACAATAATTTATTTATTGATTCAGTCCATTTTGATCCACCCAAAGTTCGTCCGTCTGTTACCCTAAACTTAGTGATGGAGTCAGCTATATTCCCTACTAAACATTGTTATTTGTTACCAATTACTCTAATTCTCCTCTTGCATTTCTATTTCTCTTCTAGTTAACTATTTATCATTCGCTATTGTATTACATCGGTTAAGATTATCCGAGCTATACAACAACAACAATCTATTATAATCTCATTAACGGGGTCTGAGGAGGGTAGTGTGTATGCAGACCTTACCCCTACCATCAGGTAGAGAGGCTATTTCCAATAGACCCTCGGCTCCCTCCCTCCAAGAACTTCTCACCTTGTTCTTGGGGTGACTCGAACTTACAACCCATGAGATTATCCGAGCTATGTGCTATATTAAGTTTTTCAATTGATGAGTTCAAAGTTTCTTTTTCCATTCTTATGCAAAACAAATGAAAGAAATTAAAATAGAACTCTGGCCAGCAGAGTATGTCATGCTCTAGCCAAATGGAAACATCTAGTTTCTGCTCTTACAGTTTGTGAATTAGCCCATATATATAGATATACATAGAGAGAAGGAACAAAAAATAAGCACATGACATCTAAGTAGTTGCATTTTGTTACAATAATAAAACTTGAGGCTCAAACTTGAAGCATAAACTAATAAACTAACAGTGTTCATACTGATCCTTTAAAGAACTAGAACTCCAATTCTTAGGGTTCGTTTGGTTGGGAAGCAAGTTATCCTAGAATTAGTTATCCCGAGATTGTTATCTTGTTCTTCCATAGAGATAAAAATAACACTATCATTCTGGAATTAGTTATACCGTAATTTTATCTCAATCAAACGTGAGATAAACTCATCTCAAATTTATTTTCGAAATTAATTATCTTGTATCTCTATCAAACAAGCTCTAATAGTATAGTTTATGTTATTAATCCAGTAAATGACAAGAAGGTACTTTTTTGTAAGTTTAAGGATCTCTCTCTTTGATATTCATATATTGTATGATTAATGGGGACCAATTATTCTACATTCTATTGACTCTCTCTTTATTATATGTCATAATAGGATTCATCCAATCCTTGCCTCCATCGGACAACTTCATTTCCTTTTAAAAATTTCTCTCTAGTCCTTGATTTAAAAATTAAAAAACAAAAGAGAAAACCCTTCTGCTCCCTAATCTATACATATATAAAAACCCTTTGAGTAGTTCCTACAATTCCAAACAAATTCACCAACCATACCATTGTTCTTTCTTTCTTTCCTTTTCTCAACCTCAAAAAAGTCCAATAAATTAACAAGAAGAAGGAACCAAGAAAATGATGTATAATAACATGGAAGAAAAAGCTGGCATAATAAGAAGGGAAAGTCGTCCATCATCATGTTCAGCACTAAGGATGAACAAGAATTCACAAACAATAACCAAAATGAAGCCCCAAATCCGAATAATTCACGTATTTGCACCAGAGATCATCAAGACAGACGTGGCGAATTTTCGGGAACTTGTTCAAAGGCTCACAGGGAAGCCATCGCCATCAGATAAGAAGAAGAAAGAAAGCAATATTTACAACATGAAGCAAATTCTTCCCAGCAGAAATAATAAGTTATTAGAGGAGCCGTTGAACTGTGTGACCACCTTTCTTAACAAGAAAATGGAGCTAAGGACTGGATTTCTTAATCCCTCAGAGTGGAGAGAAAGAATAAAAGGTGAAGAAGAGATATGGAGGAATGCAAATTCTGGTGGAGGTTTCTTGGATGGTTTGATGGAAGAGTTTAATCAGTTTCCTTTAGATGCTGCTCACATGGATGCCTATGGAGAATCATAATTTGCTTAATTAATTAATTGCTGATTAGTTAATAACTTGAGAGATGAGAAATATCAATGGAGTTAATTAGTCTAATGATGATCACAATTTAATTGTTTTTTCAATATTCTTGTTCTTTTAGGTACTTAGGGTTTTCCTTAATTAATTCTTTTATATGATCTTGATTACCCCTTCTTCTCCGGCTATGCTGTTGACTTTAGGCTTGATACAGCCCCAACTGAATCCACTATTTTTATACGAAATATAGATTGTGTTTGAAAAATTATTAAAATTTTAACAAATATATATTATCTAAAACGTCACAAGTACAATGCATGTAATAATAGCTTAAAAGATTGAAACCATCAAATTAAAATCTTGAATCACGTGCATAGCGCTATATTGTATATATACAAGAATTATTTGTACATTATACTACCATTCTAGAGCTATATTTTATTAATAATGAGAAAATGCAGTTAGTATATATCTAAGCTCCATTTGGATGCATTCTTTGCTATCGAACACAAGTATGCAACACTTCTTTTTGTTCTTTTAGTTTTTTTTTTTTTTTTTTTTTTTTTAATTTCAGGATATTAGTTGTGTATCTCTATTTTTATTGTTATCTCAAGATGCTTTACTAGGTTTTTTGTTTAATCCTCTTGGTGGAACTTTCGTGTTTGCTTAAAATCTAATTAATTTACGGAGAAACACGATTTTGGTAAAATTATGAAGGTTTGATGACTATTTTACCTTTCTTGCAAGTTTCAGTATAGAGTATTTCTTATTTCATGATAGGATGATATATCTGTTCTACATCCATTGTAAAAAAAGTTTTCAAATCACTTTTGCTTACCCGAAAAACGGATAGAGTTGAATTTATACGTAGTTCTAAGGATACGTGGTATGACTTGGTACAAATCGGAAAAGTAAGTAGAAAAATATCGAATATTGACTGTAAAAAAGAATGAAATACAACCCAAATTAAGTGGAGAACGATTTATAAACAAGCGAGATGAATCAATATCCAAAACCCAAAAAGGATAATCTCTGCTATACTTCTGTGTAAATATCAATAATCTTTGAAATATGAAAGTGTATAGATATCTTAATGTTCCTAATCTGTCTTTACAGAAATGATAGCCACTCTTCTTATAGTGGGGGATCCTACTTTGGATATAATTAAAAATACATAGTGGAGATCCCATGATAGACTAGTTAATTAGTTTTTTCTTAATTCCCGCCGAGATTCTTTCCCTTGGTGCGGCTACAACGGCTCTTTGTCTCTTAGCTCGATCTTGGTCGGTCTTGGAACTGGCCGATCTCTAGATCTCGAACTTGATATTGACTCGAGCTCGATATTGACTCGAGCTCGGTATTAACTGATCTGGATCTCGAGTTCGATAACACCATTTCACATCATAGTTCGATTTGGACTCGAGCTCGGTATTGATCGGTCCCTGAATCTTGAGCTCGGAAACCCGGCTTCAGATCTCATCTCGATATAATGAAGACGACCTTCGGTCTATCATGTTCCACTCTTGACTAATTACATGAAGGGCAAAAAATCGATTTTGACCGTATACAGATAGTCCTCTCGTTTCTCGAAAAGGATATGGCAAGAAATGATATGAGTTTTCAACCTATGACTAGGTATACACTGACGTCTGCGTAAAGCCCGATTGTGACGTATGTGACAAATGTCTGTCGGTTCAGTTACCAAGGCATTAAATACCCGTAAGTCAATGTCGGCCACTGCCAATTTTGAACTATCATTGTGTAACCTATAAATAGCCTCTTTCCTTCATTACCTTAAACTTTTACTTTCAACTCTTCTCATTCTAACCTTTACAGTTCTTCGTCTTCTGCAAAATTACCTATTTTCAAGTTCTGAAAGTTTCTTTGCTTGTTCTTCACCAACCACCAAAATATTTTAATTTTCCGTCTTCTTTTCTCTTTGAAAATTTAGATGGCCAAGATATCTAAAAATGTTCCTCAAAAAGAGGCTGCTTCCCCATCTCGGCCGGCCGGTGAGAAACCGGTGGTGGAACCACACCTTGAAGAACTCGTTCCCGGAGGATGTGTTATTGATTGCGATTTTAAAGTGGATAAACCCTCTTCGGTTGTTGGTCGATGCGAGCCGATATCGAGATACATATGCTCGATACCAGTAAGTTTCCTTGATGTGGTGAAGAAAAATTATAATTGGGTAAACAAAGAGGTCGTGATACCGACACCGAAGGAATCGATCAATACCCGCGTGGAAGGGTACTTGAGTGTTTATACTTATCCTTTCACGATGGGTCCCCTCGATCCAGTCATCATCGATTTTTATAAGAAATATCAGGTGATCCTCGGCTAGATTCATCCTTCTTTCTGGAGAATCGTGATCTTAATTCGTTTCTTTGTGAGTAAAATCGATGGGCTCCCCTTCACCCTCGGCCACCTTATAAGATTTTATAGTCCTCGACTTTATCGAGGCGGACTAATAAAGCTTCAACACCGTGCCACCAAGGTGTTCACGTCGAGCATAGATGAAGATAAGGATCGAGGCTGGATGGGCTGGTTTGTTCAAGTGAATACTTCGGACCTAATCCCGGCAGAGAGCATGCATTTCCTAAGAAATAAAATATGAAACGTAAGTACGATCCCGTTTTAAATTTTTGTTGGTCTTACTTTTTCACCCTTTCTTATTAGTGTCTTTCTCGATGTAGTCGTTGTTTGGATGCTCGGTGTGGTTCCTCACCTCAAGAACTGGGTCAAAAACCTGGTCTCAACGTCAACATTTGCCGAGCGCTCATGGCGCAATTTATCGAAGGGTCGATGGGAAGCTCGTACTCATAGTAAGCTTCATCTTGGTCTACTGATTAATTTGTCATTCGAGGTGACATGTTTATTCGAAGCATGAGTTTTACTTATCTTCTTCTTCCTTCGCAGGTCTCGAAAAAGATGCGGTCATGAGGCCCCAGTCCGGTAGTGAAGAAGTTTTACCGTTTGTCTCAAAGCCGTTGAAGGAAAATAAGAGAAAAGGGACCTCAGACCCCGAGGGTAAAAACCTAAGAAGAGGGCAGTCTGTAAGCCCAAGGAAACTACAATCCCACTGACTATGGAGTCGGTCCTGTGTCTGAGGGATGACCGAGTGGAGGAGTTCCCCGGGCTGATGAATCATAGGAGCATGCCTTTGGCACTTGTCGCATTTTCGAACAAACTCCCTGGCATCCTTGTCCATATCGATCCAATAATATCCTGTTCTGATTATTTTGTGAACCAACAAATCGGCATCGGAATGATTTCCACAAGTGCCCTAGTGAATTTCACGTAGGATGTAATCAGTGTCTCCCGATCCCAAACATATTGCCAGTGGACCGTCGAATTTCCTCCTAAATAGTGTTCCGTCTTCGGACAAGGTGAACCATGCTGCCTTTGTGCGCAGAGCCCTCGATTCCTTTGGATCTAACGAAAGATTTCCGTTTTTAAGTACTCTATGTATTTGTTTCTCCAATCCCAGGTTAAACTCGTGGAGTTTACTTCGGCGTGGCCTTCTTCGATTACTGATCTCATGAGTTGTACGACAGTTCCCGAGTTGAGTTCGTCATCTTCGACTGATGAACCTAAGTTTGCAAGAGCGCCGGCCTTGCTGTTCTGCTCTCGAGGTACATGTTGCAAAGTCCATTTCTTAAATTGATGTAGAGTCACTTGTAATTTATCCAAGTACCTCTGCATTCGATTTTTTCGGGCTTCAAAAGTCACATTAGCTTGGTTTATCACTAGAAGGGAACCACTTAGCCTCTATGACCTTAGCTCCCAAGCTTCTAGCTAGTTCGAGACCTACAATCACGGCCTCATACTCGGCTTCATTGTTAGTCAATTTTATAGTTCTAATAGACTGTCTAACTACATTACCTGTGGGTGATTTTAGTACGATGCCCAGTCCGGACCCCTTCACGTTCAAGACACCGTCCGTAAAGAGGGTCCAGACTCTCGAAGAGGTACCCGATTTTATCAGCATTTCTCTTTCAATCTCAAGTACGAGGGACGGTGTAAAGTCAGCCACGAAGTCCGCTATGATTTGAGATTTGGTAGCGATTCGGAGTCGATACTCAATATCGTACCCGCCGATTTCACCCATTTGGCCAATCGACCTGAAAGCTCAGGTTTGTGCAAAATATTTCGAAGAGGATAAGTTGTTACAACATGTATCGGATGACACTGGAAGTATGGTTTCAATTTCCTAAAGGCGCTTATTAAAGCAAGCGCTAATTTTTTTAAGTGTGTATATCTAGTTTCGGTTTCGCCTAAGGTCAGACTGACATAATAGATAGGGAATTGTGTAACACATTCTTCTCGAATCAGAACTCCACTTATCGCTATCTCCGAGACATCTAAGTATAGGTAAAGTTATCGTTCACTTTAGAGGTATGGAGTAGCAGCGGGCTCGATAAATACCGCTTTAGTTCTTCCAAAGCCTGCTGACATTCCGGAGTCCATGCAAAGTTGCTTTTCTTTTTAAGCAGTGAGAAAAATCGGCGGCTCCTATCTGAGGATCTCGAAATGAATCGTCCTAAGGCGGTTATCCGTCCTGTTAGCCTATGAACGGCCTTTACATTATCTACTACCGTGATGTCCTTGATAGCTTTGATTTTAACGGGGTTGATCTCGATTCCTCGATTGGACACCATGAAACCAAGAAACTGCCCGAGCCAACCCCGAATGCACATTTTTCTGGGTTGAGCTTCATATTGTACTCCCTCAGTATGTCGAAAGTTTCCTGCAAATGCTTTAAATGGTCCTCTGCTCGCAGGGATTTAACTAACATGTCATCAATATAAACTTCCATTGATTTTCCTATTTGCTTTTCGAACATTCGGTTTACTAGGCGTTGATAAGTTGCACCAGCATTTTTTAGACCGAATGGCATTACATTATAATAGTAGGTACCGTACTTAGTGATAAATGAGGTTTTTTCCTGATCCTCCGGGTTCATCTGAATCTGGTTGTACCTGGAGTAGGCATCGAGAAAACTGAGGGTCTCGTGGCCGGCCGTGGCATCGATCATACGATCGATTTTAGACAAAGGAAAAAAAAATCCTTTGGGCATACTTTATTCAGGTCTTTATAATCTATGCACATTCTAAGTTTGTTTCCCTTCTTTGGTACTGCTACCACATTTGCTAGCCATTCGGGATATTTTACTTCTCGAATGAATCCTATTTTAAGAAGTTTGGTTACCTCGTCTTTGATGAAGGCATGTTTGAGCTCGGACTAGGGCCTTCTTTTTTGCTTTATCGGATGGAATCTCGGATCCAAGCTTAGTCTATAAGTGGTGATTCCCGGTGGGATCCCTGTCATGTCAAGATGGGACCAAGCAAAATAGCTCATGTTAGCTATAAGAAATTGAATAAGCCTTTTCCTAAGCTCAGGATCTAACCTCATGCCCAGGAATACCTTTCGTTCGGGCAGGTGTTCGATTAGCGTGATTTGCTCCAGCTCTTCCACTGTCGATTTGGTAGCGTCGGAATCATCGGGAACCATGAAGGATCGAGGGATCCCATAATCATCACTTCCGTCAGTCTCCTGCTTCTCTAGTTGGGACGAGGCTGACGTTTGTGATTGCTATTTGGTGTCCCATTTTTCCTTCGAATCTGATCATTTTGCCGATGATAATGATGATATCGGAATCACTTCATCGAAGGAAAACATTTCTTTTGCGGTCGGTTTCTCCCCGTAGACCGTTTTGATTCGCTCCAATGTTGGGAACTTTAGAACCTAGTGCAGGGTCAAGGGTACTGCTCTCATGTTGTGGATCCATGGTCTCTTGAACAGGGCGTTATATCTCATATCGCCTTCGATGAAGTGGAACTTCATTTCTTGGATGGTCCCGGCCACGTTAACTGGCAGGATTATCTCGCCCTTAGTAGTTTCACATGCCATATTGAATCCGTTTAGTACCAAGGTTGCGGGTACGACCTGGTCCTGTAGACCGAGTTGCTCTACGACCCTCGATCGAATGATGTTGGCCGAGATACCTGGATCAATTAACACACACTTAACTTGGGTTTTATTCATAAATACAGATATTACCGGTGCATCGTTATGGGGTTGCATAATTCCTTCCGCGTCTTCGTCACTAAAGGATAAGATTCCTTTAGATATGTAGTCTTGAGTTCGAGATTGCTTGTCTCTTATGATCGACATCTTAGTGCGCTTAAGAACCGGTCCCTGGGGAACGTCGATCCCTCCGATGATCATGTGGATGATGTGATGTGGCTCTTCTTGTTCGTTTTGTCTATTGAAATCTCTATTTTAGAAATAGTTTTTGGCCCGGTCACTTAAAAATTCTCGAAGGTGCCCTTCATTGAATAACCGGGCTACCTCTTCTCTCAATTGCCTGCAGTCTTTAGTTTTGTGGCCATGGGTGCCACGATACTTGCACATTTGATTGGGATTTCTCTGGGGTGGATCGTATTGTAGAGGTCAATGCCACTTAGTATCTTTGATACATCCGATAGCTGACACAATGGCAGATGCATCGATGTTGAAGTTGTATTCCGATAATCGTGGTGCTTCCTTAGGTCCGGTATGCCTGTTGAACCCATTTCTGTTCATCAGCCCCCGAGACCCTTAGCCTCAATCACTTCTCATTTCGCCTTGTACGAGGTTGCGTGAAGGTTCGCTACCCCTACTATCTCCATTATACGGCCGATATCGATTCTTATTTGACCTTGGTTCTCGGTCGATGTCCCTTTTAATAACGGACCTAGACCCCAACTGGTCGTCTTCAACTCTGATCTTCGATTGATATCGATTGTGTATATCGGCCCAAGTAATAGTCGGGTACTCGATCAAATTCTGGTTCAACTGTCGTGAAGCCATTGAGCTCCGCTCGTTCAGTCCTTGAGTGAAAGCCTGTACAGACCAATCGCCAGTGATCGGTGGTAGATCCATTCGTTCCATTTGAAAACGAGATACGTCTCTTAGCATCTCGTTGTCCTTCTGCCTTACCTTGAAAGGGTCCGACTTCCTGGTCTCAACCTTTATGGCTCTGGCGTGTGCTTTTACGAAAGAATCTGTAAGCATAGCAAAAGAATCGATAGAGTTAGGCGGTAAATTATAATACCATGTCATTGCCCCCTTTGACAGAGTTTTCCCGAACTTCTTCAGTAGTACANAGTTATACGTTTCCACCTTTTTGTCATTTGCTTCAATCCTCCTTTCTCCTGACTCTATTTGTTTTGTTAGTTCCTCGAGCATCTTAACAATTTCGGGATTAGTCCCCGATTCTTGTTCATTTGATCTTACTGCAGCTAGCTCCGTTTCGTGGGTGACTTCTCGGGGTGGGCCGGACTCGGCCCTGCTCGGTGCCTGGGTTTGGCTATGCAACTGAGCTATCGCTACATACTGAGCTTGCAATATTTCGAAAATCATACGCAGGCTGATCCCGTCTTCTCCAATATTTTGGGTATTTCGAACTGCAGATCGAGTTCTACCATGAATGTTATTTTCGGGGTCAGAACGCTGGTTCGCCTCGATGGCCACATGCAAATTATCGTCAATTGGATCTATGGCCCGATCTCCAACGAGATCGACTGGTGGTCTTTCATCCCCGGTCGTCTGGTTGTTGTTCTCATCTTGAAGGCCAGCTTCGTTGTCGATAGATAGGGCCATTAATTGAGAGTTCGTCGTTTTTAACCTGTAATCAAAGATACTTTCAAGAGTAAGTGTAAAATGGTGTGTTTTGCAGAGATTCGTACCAAACAACCACTGTTATCCTTAGCCCCACGGTGGGCGCCAAACTGTTTCCTCGAAATACGGATAGAGTTGAATTTATATGTAGTTCTAAGGATACGTGATATGACTTGGTAAAAATCGGAAAAGTAAGTAGAAAAATATCATAAAAAGAATGAAATACAAACCAATTGAGTGAAGAACGATTTATAAACAAGCGAGATGAATCAATATCCAAAACCCAAAAAAGGATAATCTCTGCTATACTTCTGTGTAAATATAAATAATCTTTGAAATATGAAAGTGTATAGATATCTTAATGTTCCTAATCTGTCTTTACAGAAATGATAGCTAGTCTTCTTATAGTGGGGGATTCTACTTTGGATATAATTAAAAATATATAGTGGGGATCCCATGATAGACTAGTTAATTAATTTTTCCTTAATTCCCGCCGAGATTTTTTCCCTTGGTGCGGCTACAACGGCTCTTTGTCTCTTAGCTCGATCTTGGTCGGTCTTGGAACTGGTCGATCTCCAGATCTCGAACTTGATATTGACTCGAGCTCGGTATCAACTGATCTGGATCTCGAGTTCGATAACACCACTTCGCATCATAGTTCGATTTGGACTCGAGTTCGATATTACTTCAAGCTCGGTATTGATAAGTCCCTGAATCTTGAGCTCGAAAACCCGGCTTCAGATCTCATCTCGATATCATGAAGACGACCCTCGGTCTATCATGTTTCAGTCTTGACTAATTACATGAAGGACAAAAAACTGATTTTGACCGTATACAACTTTATATTATGTTACCCTACTCGTTTGGTTTAATTTATCTTCTTTTTTTTCGGGTTTGGTTTTAGTATATAAACAAGAAAAACACCGATCTTTAATGAAATATTTATGACCCCTCACAAAAATTGACAGATTTGTGAAGGCTTTACAAAGGAATTCATCAATGTTGATGAATTTGTGACGGTAATTATAAAATTATGTTGTTCTTTTTTATATTTCTAGTAATTATATGTAAACTTATAAAATTATGTTGTTCGTTTTTATATTTCTAATACTTATAGTAGCAGGTTTGACCCAGAAGAAAAATATTCATGTCTAGACATGTCGATTCAAATTAGATAGACTCCTAAGTATTGTCACTAAGAAAGTTATGTTTGCTCTCCACATTTATTTTTGCACCTAATAGATTTAAAAACAACACACAAAATATGTTTACAAGATTATTTTCTTCCATTCAATTAAAAAGGGTCCAATTGACCCATTTCCGCCTATAAATAAAGGCTGATGTTTGAGCATGATGAATCACTTCGTGCCGACTTGTTGCCAATTCATTTTCCGGATTCATATGAGAATGGAAAACTAGAGCATTTTTTTCATCGATGGATGAAGAATTGATCTCATCTCCACAGGAAATCTTCCTCCCTCCCTCCTCTCTCTTATAAATAGATGATCGTCTTAGCAAGCTACACTTTAAATTTACTTGACCAATTCTTTTCTCTGACAATTATTTCAAGTTTTCTTTCTCTTTTCTAACATATATAGGGAAATTGAAAGCATGAATTCTTAGAAATAGAAATTTGACTCTTTTAGAAATTTAGAAATGATATAAAATTACCTTGAAATATTAAAATTTCACTTTAAAATGTTATATAATGAAATTTAAAAAAAAACTTGTTACACCCAAAGTGATGTATAAATTTGCTATAGCTTATAAATAGTTGCAACTATATTCTGTATCCAACTGGTGCAGATTCACCCTGAAGCCCCCCC